TCTGCCCTGACTCTCCCCCCCTCTTCCCCAGAGAAGCAGCGTCTGGTGTCAGAGCAGCAGCTGATGACGCTGGCAAGGAAAATGGGCAAGACCTGGCAGCAGATCGGCATTGAGCTCCTGGGGCTGAAGAAGCACAGTCTGGAGCAGATCGAGGAGAACAACCCCGGCAACGCCACAATGCGAGCTTTCGAAATGCTCCTGGAGTGGAGGAAACAAGCAAGGCAGGGGGCCAGCGCCAGCGCCCTTCACTCCCTCCTCTGCCAGGACACGGTGCTCCAGCCTGAGGCCCTCGAGTGCCTCCTGGACGCAGGCAGCACCTAAGGAGATCTGGGAGGCATAAGGGGGGTTAGTCCAGGGGCTGTAAGCAGGGCAAGTGTTAGACCCTCTGGAGCCCAAGGCAGAAAGCTAAAGCCCTGCTGTGCAGGGCTGAAGCCTGGGGCCCGGGGCCCTGAGCCCCGCCTCTCGGGCTGATACCTGAGCAATATAGAATCCTAGAACTAGAAGGGACCTTGAGAGGTCAGCAAGGCCCGGCCCCTGCCCTCGCGGCAGGACCCAGCGCCATCTAGACCATCCCTGACAGGTGTCTGTCTAGCGGTACCTGTTCTTTAATATCTTCAACAATCGAGATTTCACAACGCCCAGGCAATTTATCCCAGTGTTCACCACCCTGACAGTTAGAAAGTTTTTCCTAATGTCCAACCGAAACCTCCCTTGCTGCAATGTAAGCCCATAGGTTGGCAGAGACCCCTCTGGCGTGGGGCATCGGGAGTTGCCCTGCTTGCTACCTTCTAATGAACAGAAGAAGAGCTGTGGCACTGGTGGGCCATGGAGTTTCCATAGCACGGCGGGAGGAGAGGAGGGCTCAGAAGAAGACTGAGAACTCCTGGTCCAGGGGTGGTGTGCCCTTGTAGGTAGGAACTGGCAGGGTTCTCTGGGGCCCTTGAGTCAGTTGTCAGTGGTGCTTTAGTTTTGAGGTGTCTGCCTGGCTTGCAGTGAGGACAAGCACCCACTGCTCCTGTTCATTTCAGCCAGAGTGGAGGGCGCTTGGAAACCAGGCCATGGGTGGTGCTCAGGAATCAATGGCCATGCTGGAAAATGCTGGTTGCCATCCTTCTCCGTGCCTCCTTCCCCCAATGCAGAGGAGGGAAACCTGTCTACACTTCATTCCTCGAGAGAGAGAGGAATGCAAATGCAGACACCCGAAATTGCAAATGAAGCAGGGATTTAAATATCTTGCTCCTCATTTGCATAATCGTGTTATGGCGCTATTGCGGAATAGTGTTATTTCGAGAGAAACAAACGGGGTCATTTCGAGATAAAATCCTTCCCTCAAAATAACCTTACTCCTCAATAACAGTCCTTGCGGGGGAGGGGAGACGCTCAGGGGCTGGGTGCACTTCCTTAAAGTCATTTCGCTGCCAGCAGCTTCACGTGCCACTGAGGCAGGCTCCAGATCTGTGTCTGGCTGCTTCCCCTCTCCAGCCTGTCACCAGGTGTTAGCTGGAATGGGTGAGCTCTAGCAGGGGTCCTGGGATGGCCCAGGGAAGGAACCAAGGAGCGGGGCAGGAGTGGGAGGAATGGATAGAAGCCGGTGGAGGAGGGGGATACCTGTGATCGGAGGCAGCAATAAAATGGCAGCGCAAGGCCCACTTTTTAAATTTAAGCGGGACAGAAAGATTTGCTGTCTTAGGCGTCGACACAGTGTTGACACAGTTAAAGTAACTTTTTTACATCTTTTGAGCAAGATTTGTTTTATACTTTTATCTGAATTACATTTTATATATTAACCGACTAGTTTTTTATTAGTAGCCTGGGGAAGTCTGTCTGTCTTGCAGGATTTGTGGGATCTATGGCTTTTGCACAGGAGTGGGCAAAAGGACCTCCACGGGCCAGATCTGGCAGGTTGATCTGGCCTGCAGAGGCCCTGCCACGCCCCAGGCCCGAAGCACACAAAGTTTCCTCTGCCATGCCAGGAGCATGCGGCGATTCTAAGTGCCACATGCTCCTTGCAGGGCAGAGGAGACTTTGCACGCTCCCCCACCCCCAGGCCAATCAGGGCCTGGGGGTGGGGGGAAGCACGCAAAGTTTCCTCCCACCCCAGGGGCATGAGCATGTAGGGGAACCTGTGGGAGGGGCAAAGACTTTACACACTCCCCCAACCCCAGACCAGTCCTGGTCTGTGGGTGAGGAAGCAGGGAAGTATCATGGCCTCACCCCTTCCGCTTGAGGCCCCGCCCCTTCCAGTGTGGCCCGGGGCCACATCAAATATTTCTGAAGTGGCCCGTGGCAAAAAAAATACTGCCCATCCCTGCTTTTGCAGGAGTGGCTGGGAGTGGGTATTGTGGGTCAGGATGGGAGCAGGATTAAAAAAGTAGTCCCGAGCAAAGCTTTGCTTTTGGGGCCTCACACCGCTGGGTACCCGGCTACTCCGGCCACACCACCTCCGCCTGTGCTGACATGCCCATCATGAGGTTGGGAAGCGGTACCAGCTCTGTGCCTGGGGTGGGGGCACGGTGCTGCTGGCATTCCAGGTGAGTCCTGGTGTACAGCCAGCTTGCACAAGCATTGACACAGCAAAGTAACTTAGTCGCCAGCATGCGCCAGGATGGGTCTTGTGCTGGGAGTGGTGTGGGTCCCTTCCCAGCCCCTGCCAGTCTCAAAGCAGGCAGGCCCAGTGGCTGGGTCCCAGGGGCAGAGTGAATGCTGGCTCTCAGCATGCTCTAAAAAGGCTCACTGGAGAGGAGGCCTCAAGCCAAGTTAAAGCTCTGGCTCCCCACCTCAACCCACATGTCGAACTGCCAGCATGAAAACTCTGGCTGTGAGTTGAGCCCAGGCACCAGCCAGCAGGGGGCTCTATCCTCCCCGCCCTGGGCACACATGGGCAGGCTAGCAGAGAGCAGAAAGGGGGAGGCAGAAGACTGGCTGTGGGGGGGCAGGGCAGGTCATGGTGCCCAGGAGCTGGGACAAGGGCCAAAAGGGTTCTACACCCAAAAAGAATGGGAAGCTCCCGGAAGACGTCCGTCAATGGCATTAGCCAAGATGGACAGGGATGTAACCCCATGCTCTGGTATCCCCAACTCCTGATGGCACGAGCTGGGACTGGATCCCTCGAATGCCCTGTCTTGTTCATTTTGTCTGGGGCACCTGGCATTGGCTGCTGTCAGCAGACCGGCTCCTGAGCAGACGGACCATTGGTCTCACCCCGTGTGGCCATTCTTACCCGCTCTCAGACAAAGGTCTCAAAGCAGCTCGGTATCATTTTCCTCCTTCCACAGACAAGGAAACAACCTCAGGGAAGGGAGTGACCTCAGAGCCATGGAGAGAGAGGAGGAGGGAGCTGGGTACAGAACCCAGGGCAGTTTTTACCATCAGGCCATGCTGCCTCCTGCTGTAAGTTGCGTTACCGATTGTCTGGAGCAGTGGGCAAGGTTGCAAGCTTTCTGGAGCATGAGTTTCCAAGCCCACCACCAGAACAAAAGTCTCCTTAACACCAGCTTGCAAACTTTCACCCACTCGGAGTGACTTTCCCTAGCAGGCTCGTGCAATATGATATGGGGGAGCAGAATTCACGCCTGGGCCGTGATGGTGATTTAACAAACACGTGGACTAATGTAAAAGCAAATGCCAACATTTACTGCCACGCTGCTTATGAAATGCGGGGGTGTGGGGGCAGTTACCAGGCACACTGACATCAAGTGCTTAGACCAAGCATGAATGCTTCCAGCAGAGCAATGCAGAAGGCAGCATGAGGAACAGTAAAGGAACAGCACACTCGCCTGGGAGCAGCTCGTGAAGTGGTGTTTGGCAGATCTGTTTGACATCAGAGGGCTCTTTAGAGGCAGCCCCAGTCAAACCAGGTGGAGCTCTACACCAGTTTCACAGAGCTCAGGGCATCTCCACACTACATCTGGACTGTCCTGCAACGGCCGTTCGTCTGTGGTCAGCTGAGTGTTGGACATACGTGTCAGCCCCCGGCATATTGCACCACAGGGTGATGTTCTACTTGCCTGCAGGGTGGTGCTGAAATGTTCACCTCTGGTATCCAAGCACCCTCTTCCAGCTTGTCCCATGAAGCCTTAATGGAGCTGTCTCAGGGCATCGCCAAATGTGCAAGCTGATGTTCTCAAAAAGGCTTCTATCATCTTCAGTCCCCTCAGGTGTTACTCTCTTCTGGGCCTTCTCAATGTCCCTTCTCTCCCAAGGACCCAGGGGAGGCAGACAGGGAGTTGCTGAGTTCCCCTCTGGTGGAATGTGTTTGGAGACATGTGGGAGAGGCTGGTAACTGACCATACTAGGGATTTAACCCCCCTGAGTCCGGTGACCTGTGTTGTCACAGCAGTGATTGCTGGAGGCTGTGGAGAAGGATACTTTGGGCAAGAGTGGATGTGATGTCCTACTGTTACTATGCAGGAGGCAGGATCCCTACAAGTCTTTGCCCAGTCTCTCGATCTCATCCAGGAAGAAGTCCAGGTCCTGCTTGGTGACCATGGGATTTGTGACGACCTGGCGGAAGAAGTTGACCCTGCTGCCAAGGGGTTGGTAACCCACCATCATGGACCCTTTCTTCATCATCCGCTCCTTGATAGCAGGGGCCACCTAGTCAGAGCAGTACATGTAATACTCAGCGTCATACTCAGCCGTGGCTACCCAGCTGTGCTACGAACCTCTAACCCTTCTCCTAGGCTATCAAATAGACCCCTCCACTGGCCAAACCAAGCCCTCTAGCTAGCTCAGAGTTTTAGGCCTGGGTGGTGACTGGCCCCTTTAAAAAGGAGCAGGGTCCAGTATACCAGTCCCAGTTTGGCTGAGGAGCCAGCAGGCAGAGGAGCCCCAGAGGAAAGAGGAGCAGCGATGTGTGGGCAGGAGTCACTTGGGGGAAGAGTTTCAGGAGACTAAGTTGGGGGGGAGCTGCCTCTGAAGCTGGGGACCTGATGGGTGGAAGACCTGGCAGGTAGCCCCAAGGCAAAAGCAGGTCTAGGAAAAAGAAGGTGGATTCCTCTGAGCAGGGATGGGACTCCCAGGCAGGGAGCCCTGAGAGGTGGGAGCTCTGGGCAAAGCCCTCGGAAGGACGGTGGCGGGAGTAGTCACTCCTGGGCAGGGAGGCTTCATGCAGGTGCCAAAGGAAATGGGAGCCCAGTGCCGCTACTGACTTGAGTCAGTTAGGCCCAGGGCTGGGGAGAGGAAAATGACTCTGCGTGTGGTCACCGTGGGAGCTAGCGAGCGGTTTTACCTCGCAGGAGAATTGCAGCACTAGTGTAAGGCAGGTTTGGGAGCAGGCCCGGACGGGTTACGTTTCTTTCCTAAAAAAGGGATGCTCGGGCTGGGTACATCTGTTGTGTGGGGGGCTGATGCTGGAAGGTGCCCCAGCTTGGATTTTCAAAGGTGTCAATGGAATTTGGGTGCTGCATGCTTTGAAAGGCCATCGTGGATAATGCCCGGCTCCATGGTGGCCAGTGTGATACAAATCTAGGCCCTTGGATACAAAGAAACAGTGAGGTCTCAGTATACAGTAAGCTAGAGAAGCAGCTCATAGCCTTGCCTGGCTAGCAGAGATGGCTGGGGTGGGCGGAGGACAGACAGACACTCTCTTTGCCAGTTTGGAGGGGGGGGGCAGTTTGGAGGGGAGGGGGGAGTTTACTGTTCTGTGGAGTTTGCTGCCACCTAGCAATGCTGTATCTAGCATCAGAAACAAGCTCCCCTCCGCTCACCTTTCCCAGTCTCTCCCAGTAATCGGCACAGCCCTGCTTGCCCCGAAGGCTGGCTGGCACAAACCAGAAACACAGATTGATGAACTCAGGCTGGGGAAGGGAAAGGAGAAGGGGTCACTGTAAGGAAACAACCTGAGCCCCGCCCCTACAGCTGTGCTGCCCAGAGAGTCCAGAACTGTCCCCCGAAACCTCGGCAGTGGAGGAGCAGCCTGTGGATCCCGGGAGGGTCCAACCCTGCTCCCCCCTTGACCGTGCATAGCGATTGGATTTCATTGATAGCAAACTCGTATCACAGTGAAAGCAGCAGCCCACCCATCCCAGAGGCGGCTGCAAGTCAGCAGAAGATGGCAAGGACTGAAGAGAAAGCACTGGGCATCCTAGGCCTGGCCATCGTTGCCTGCTTTAGAGGTACCAATGGCTGAAGCCTGGTGGTGAATTAAGGCTGTTTCAAAGGGGAAAGCTGAGGCTGGCCAACATCACAGAGCAAGTCAGCGGCAGGGCTAGGAATGGAACTCAGATCTGATTCCCACCCTCTGGGACTACCCTACCTCACCAGGTAGAGTGCACTGACACCCCACGCTCGTAGTCATTGGGGTCAGTAATGTGACCATCCTGGCAGGTGCATAAAAGGAAGGGGACACCCATCAGGAAGGCTATGTCTACACTCGCGGCTTCTTGCGCAAGAAAACGTCCACACTGCCATGTGCGAGCTGTGCTTTTGCACAAGAGCGGCCATGGCAGCGTGGACACTATCTTGCGCAAGAAAGCTCTGGTGGCCATTTTAGCCAAAGGGCTTTCTTGTGCAAGAAATCCCTGCCGAGTGTCCACACCGCCCTCTTGCGCAAGAGGGCTTACACCTGTTGAAAAGAGCGTAGCTCTTGCGCAAGGAGCACTCTCTTACCACGCCGGACTGTAAATTTACTTGCGCAAGAGGGCTTACACCTGTTGAAAAGAGCGTGGCTCTTGCGCAAGGAGCACTCTCTTACCCGCCGGACTGTAAATTTACTTGCACAAGAGGGCTTACACCTGTTGAAAAGAGCGTAGCTCTTGCGCAAGGAGCACTCTCTTACCGCGCCGGACTGTAAATTTACTTGCACAAGAGCAGGCAGGCAGTGTGGACGCTCTGCAGATTCTTGTGCAAGAACGGCCATACTTGCGCAAGAAGCTGCGAGTGTAGACATAGCCCAAGGGTTTGGGGAATGTCCGGGAACTTCTCCCTGATTCCTTGGAAAAGGGCATGTTCCCAACAAGCCGCAGTGTAGCAACGGCTTCAGGTGGGCCATACCTCTGTCACCAGCAGGAACCCTTCCCTTCCCTTCATCGCATCAGCCAGGTACCTAGAGAGGACGAAGAGATCACTGCTCTGAGTGAAATCAGTGGGTGTTGGGAGAGAGGGGGTAAAACAACGACTGAGCCCCAGACACCATCCCTGTGTGAGGATCAGGCAGCATCACTCCCGTGCCGGGCAGGGTACGCAGGTCTCCCCCATTCTTTACCTTGTGAACTCAAAGGCCCTGTCCACTCGCTTCTCCAGCCCCTCGGTCCCATTGGCCTTCCACATGAGCCACAGCTTGAGGCAGTCCACCTTGCGGCCGCACTGAACAGTCTTGTCCCCCGTGTCGTAGGCCATGTCATAGAACTTGTCAGTCTGGAAGAGGTAGGTGGCATTGGCGCAGTAGCATCTCTGCAGCAAGCCCTGCAATGGGAGGGGAGCAGCACGTTACCATCAGGGCCCCAAGGAAGGCAGGGACAAAGTGGTGCTATGGAGACCAGGTGGAGCCGGATTGGATCTAGATGTTCACAAAAACGCCACTTCCCAGTTTTCAGCAGGGAGTGGGGCAGGCTGCGGAGAGAGCTCTGGGCTACTCCAGTCCCAGTCTCTCCCAGCAGGGGGGGCTGTAGGGCGTGGGGCAAGACTACTGGCTGTGGGGGGAGCTTACACTACTGCAGTCCTGGGCTCCCCCTGTAGGAGGCGCTTCAGGGAGTGGTATAGGACCAGCCTCTTACAGCAGGAGGCAACAGCATGTAAGTGGCGCTCATCACAGCAGGGCTCCAAGCACCTGCCTGGGCAGGGGAGGGAGAGGCGGTAAAGACCTGGCGACCTACAGAGCTATCTCGGAGCAGGAAGGCGGAGCACTGCAAACCCGTCATCAGCATCTTGTGGGGGTTCCAAGCCACCGAATCCACCCTGCAATGGAGAGAGATGCAGTGAGACACCCAGAGCGGCAGGTGTGCTGGGGAGCGCAAGGAAGGCTCTGAGTGCACTGGGTTGGAGGTGGTGGGCAGCTACCAGAGGTGTAAGGAAGGGGCTTTTCGCTGCACACACCAATACCGACATCACAGTGTGCTAATTTCAGAGCCTCACAGGCACAAGCTACTGTGCTGCAGGGAGGCTCAACCCCATTACCACTCTCATGGGACCAATCCTGGGACCAATCCTGTTCAACTTATTCATAAATGATCAGGAGAAAGGAGGAAGCAGGGAGGTGGGAAAGTTTGCGGATGATACCAAACTGTTCAGGATAGTCAAGACAGAAGCAGACTGTGAGGGACTCCAAAAAGATCTCACCAAACGGAGTGATTGGGCAACAAAATGGCAAATGAAATTTAATGTGGATAAGTGTAAAGTAATGCACATCGGGGAAAAATAACCCCAACTATAATACAGTATGATGGGGGCTAATTTGGCTACGATAAATCAGGAAAGAGATCTTGGAGTTATCGTGGACAGTTCTCTGAAAACTTCCATGCAGTGTACAGCGGCGGTCAAAAAGGCAAATAGGATGCTAAGAATTATTAGGAAAGGGATAGAAAATAAGACCCAGAATGTCTTACTGCCCTTGTATAAAACTATGGTATGTCCACATCTTGAATACTGTGTACAGATGTGGTCTCCTCACCTCAAAAAAGATATTTTGGCCTTGGAAAGGGTCCAGAAAAGGGCAACTAAAATGATTAGGGGTTTGGAACGGGTCCCATATGAAGAGAGGTTAAAGCGATTGGGACTTTTCAGTTTAGAAAAGAGGAGACCGAGGGGGGATATGATAGAGGTCTATAAAATCATGAGTGGTGTGGAGAGGGCAGATAAAGAAAAGTTATTTATTAGTTCCCATAATAGAAGAACTAGAGGACACCAAATGAAATTAATGGGGAGCAGGTTTAAAACTAATAAAAGAAAGTTCTTCTTCACACAGCGTGTAGTCAACCTGTGGAACTCCTTGCCAGAGGAGGCGGTGAAGGCTAGGACTATAATAGAGTTTAAAGAGAAGCTAGATAATTTCATGGAGGTTAGGTCCATAAAAGGCTATTAGCCAGAGGATAAAATGGTGTCCTTGGCCTCTGTTTGTCAGAGGCTGGAGACAAATTGCTTGATCATTGTCTTCGGTCCACCCTCTCTGGGGCACCTGGTGCTGGCCACTGTCGGTAGACAGGATACTGGGCTAGATGGACCTTTGGTCTGACCCAGTACGGCCGTCCCTATGTTCTTATGTAGATGGTATCACGAGTCCACGAAAGCTCATGATCCTAGCTACATTGTTTGTTAGTCTATAAAGTGCTACCAGACCA